ATATAATTATGTGTGTTAATTTGATAAGGGTGTAAAATGAAAATTTTAAAAGAAAATGATATAAAGTAAATTAATTATCTAATTACAGGGGTATGAAATGTAAATTTAAAATTAAAATTTTAAAAAATTCGGTGAATGTGAGGGTGTGAGTGAGGGAAAGATGTGAGGAGGAGGGGGTGGGAAGTGACGTCAGAAGGTGGGGATATCAACCCCCTTTGCAAATTAAGTGCAAATTAAGCGTTAATAGTAAGATACTAATGTGACAAATAATACTTTAGCAAATAACATTTTAGTAAGTTGTGTAAATGTCCCTTTTATGAATATTATATTCATAACACTGTAAAAGTAGATTTCGAGTTCCTCATCATCGTCATGATCGGTATCGGTAGTTGGCGGCGTACTTAGTCCCATGTCAATTTCGTTTTCTTCCACCCCTTAAATCTCCACCTTTAATGATATTGTGTGTTGAATTCTAGCAACGCTATCCATGTAATCTTTTAAACGTATGCAACGCTCTACGGACTCCGGGCTTATTCTTGTCCGCCATACCGAAATGCCATTAAGAGAAAAAGCAGATTTCGAAGATGAGATACTAGCTTAGATTGTTGGTATATCACGGGTCATGCGTGCCAAAACCACGAATTGAGGTTTGCTTTTGTTTTCAAATATCTAATAGATTAATCTTTTCAAAATCTTCGACATCATTTCTGTGGCATGCAATCACAAAATTAGTATGCACATACATATTTAGTTCAACCAAATCGTTAACAAATCATTTTTTTTTTCTTGATTCATTTAAAACATTGTTCATTAAGTTAGTCGTCAACTCTTTCCGACTTTGACGATGACCATTAGAACTAGAACCCGTAAATAAACGACTTGAAGAGCTTTGTTGTTGGCTTCCCCCCAACAAAAATGTTTATAACGATCAAATAAATCTTGAAAATTACGATTAAATAAATGTTTTTGTTTAGTTGAAAAAGAATTATTCGAAGTCGTATCTAAACCAAATGCCACGCACATTTGTGTAACTAAAATTTCAACACCGATAACATTCAAATACGGATTTAACGTCGCGACACAAATAAAAAACAAATGAAATGCTCATAAAATATTTAACAATTTTTTTTATTTGACTCGTCAACTTCCTCAATCGTAATGGTCTTCATATTGTGCAACCTTAGTTGCCAAAATAAATAATTGATGTAAATGTAAAAGGTTTGTTGGATAGTAAATACAGGATAAAAAATGTTGTTACATTTTTAAAATCGCCCACAATGTTGTATAATCATTCAAGCATGGCCCAATCAAGACTCCCAATAGAATTTTGAGAATAATGGTGTTTATAATATAAAAAATTATAATTTCTTTGTTTTAGCAAATTTTCAATCATAAAATATGTCGAATTCCATCTAACAAGCATATCAAACCTTAGTAACAAAGCTTTAAAATCAACTTTTTCGCAATATTTTCTATATTCCGCGTGCATTTTCTTATCCTTTGTGAAAATTTGCGGTAACATAAGTCTAAAATTATCTATTACGGGTTTACAAGTATTTAAACCGTCTTAAATGACTAAAATTATTATGTGCATACAACAACGTGTATGAAACAATTTACCTTTTAAAATAGGGGTCAAATAACACTTTAATTTCTACACATATAAACTATTATTGCTAGTGTTATCAAATGAAATGCTAACTATTTTAGTAGATAAACTATAAAATGTAAGACATTTTTTAATAATCGAAAATTAGCGTGCACCCGAATGTGACGCACCAAATGGTTCAAGCATGATTACACGTTTGAATAATTGCAATGATTGCGACTCAATACAGTGTGCCCTTGGGCATATATAAGAAACTGACAATCTGTGTGGTGTGCTCCATACATCATACATCAAAGAAATATTGTTAAGTAAAAGAGAAAACATTTGTTGTCTTTCATTTCGATACATTTTTCACATTTTAATTGCATCATGTCTAAGAATTTGATGAAATA